GTTTTTTTGAGACAGGGTCTCACTACATAGTTGAGACTGAACTGGAACTCTATGTGACCCAGGTTGGGCTCGAACTCACAGCGATCCTCCTGCCTCAGCCTCCCGAGTGCTGGGATTACAGGCATGCACCACCACACCTGGTAACAAGGAATATTCTTGTCTCTGGCTCCTTTCTTCTCTCTCTGCCATGGACTGAACAGCTTTCTTCCTTTTTCCCGTCTACTATGCCACTTCTGCTGTGGAGCTAGCTGACCTTGTACCTGAAAGCATGAACCCAAATAAACCTCTCCTCCTTTAATTGTGGGTGCTGGGTATTGTGTATTAGCAATGATGAAGTGACTAAAACATTGCCTGTGCTTTTGAGGTCTTATCCAAAACACCTTTGCCTATTCCAATGTCGAAAGCATTTCTCTGAAACATTCCTCCAGCAGTTTCAGTTCTTATATGTAAGTCTTTATTCTTTTTTTTCCTATTAAGTTTATTGGTACATTTAAAGGAAACAACTCAGTTACGTTTATCGTTGGGATCTTGTGCCTTTACATGATATGTCTTGGTTCTTATTTTTTCCCCACATCCCTGCCCTCCCTTCACCCCTTCACCCTTCCCTATTTACTGTTAAGTCTTTATTCTGATTTGATTTTTGTATATGGTGAGATTAACAGAGGTCTAGTTTTACTCTTCCACATATGTATTTCAAATTTTCCTAGCACCACTTATTGAAGAGACTATCCTTTATCCAATGTATGTATCAGTCCCTTTGTCAAAGATCAGTTGGCTATAGATGCATGGATTTAATTCTGGGTCTTCTATTCTATTCCATTGGTCTAAATGTCTGTTCTCAGGCCAATACCATGTTGTTTTGATTATTACAGCACTGCAGCATATTTTGAGGTTAGGTAGTATAATACCTTTTGCTTTGTTCTTTTTTGCTCAAGATCACTTTGGCTATTTTTTTCTGTGGTTCCATATAAATTTTAGGATTACATTTTTTAGTACTGTGGAAGAATGTCACTGGTATTTTGATAGGGATGACTAGCTTCAAATCTTGACCTCAGGTATATGTGGCATTTTATTATCCTTTTTTGTTACATTATTTCAAGCTAGGTTTTAAAAATTGTTTTAAGCATAGAAAGTGGAACAACTTTTATTATGAAAATATAGGATAGGCTTGCCAGGCATGGGGGCATACACATATTAATCTCAGCACTGGGGAGGCTGAGGCAGGAGGATTACTGAGAGTTCCGAGCCAGAGTAAGCTACATAGAGAGTTCAAAGCTATTCTAAACTACATTGTGAGACTTTCTCTCAAAAAACAAAAACAAAACAAGATAAAATTGTAGTAAGCTTATTATGGAAATTTGTATATCTTTGTAAAAATTATATTTCATGCCTTTAAAACTTTAACATAAACCAAAAATAGAGAAGATAAGAAATTTCTGTATATTCTTTGCTCAGATGTGGCTGCCGTCACTCATGGCAATCTTACCCACCATGACCCATCTTGCTGATTATTTCAGCAAATCCAAAACATCATATTATTATCTTTGCAAGTGATGTATGTTTCTCTAAAACAAACCTTTAAAAATATGACTACAATACCATTATTACATCTGAAAAATCACAATAATTTCTTAGTATCAATGACTAGTGTTCAAATTTCCAAATGATCACAATGTTAACATTTTTAATAGTTTAAAAAAATTAGCACCAAGATAGGAACCATATATTATGTCTAGTTAATATGTCTTAAATCTCTTTAAACTGGTAGTTACCTCTCCATCTCTCTCTCTCTCTCTGACCTCTTTTACAAATTTATTTGTTGATGAAATTTATTGTTTATTCTGTATACAAAATTCACAAATTGAATTTTGCTGATTATATCCCTGTGGTAACATATATCACAGTTTTTTGTATGATGCATTTCCTGTAAAATGATATAGACTCTACAGGCTTAAAATATTTGTAATGACTGAATAATATCCTACTAGTGAAATATTTTTGGAACTTCTAGTTGTTTTCAATATTCACTACTATAAATCATGTGGTGATAAACATTTTGTGTACAAATCCTTACCAGATTTCAGATTACTTTCTAGAAGTGGAATTACTGAGTTAAAGAGTACACACATTGTTGAGCTCTTGGTACAGACAGCCACATTACATTACATAAACTCTGAATAATTTACGGTCCAATAAGCAGGGTCTGAGAAAACCATGTTCATCACGTGGGAATTATACTACTACCCTCATGTGTTAGAGAAGAAAACTGAGGCTCAAGAAGAGCAAAGCACTACCTTAGGCAAGGGAGGTAGAACATTGAAGGTCTACTGACTCCTACTACCATAAGACTGTCCTTGCCACTAAATATGCTGTTTCTTTGTGGCATCAGTGTGTATGTGGGTGCTTTCTGAGGTTTCAATTTTCAATAAGGATGCAAAATTATCTGAGACTATTCCTGAGACTAACAGTGACTACAAATAGCTTCAAAATCACCAAGCCTCAAGATAAAAATGGTTTAATAATGTGAAATAGAAAGAAAAGGGCTAAAGGTGTAGGGGAGGGAAGGGTAGGGGAAAGGAAATAAGGGACAAAAAAATATGAGAAAAGGGAAAAATGGAAACAAAGTCTTTGTAAATAGGGGAGGGTGGAGGGGATGAAGGGAGGGCAGGGTATGGGGAAAAAATAAGAACCAAGACTTGTCATGTAAGGGTACAAGATCCCAATAATGAATGTAACTGTACTGTATACCTAAAATGTATCAATAAACTCAATGAGATAAAAAAAGAAAAAAATGGTTTAAACTATCTATAATTTTGTTTTTGTGTGTGTTGGTATACTTTTTAATAAAGTAATAATACATTTAAACACTGAGAAAGATACACTCTGCCTTTTCTATGCCAAATGAGGAAATGGACGGAAAGTATGTCAGGATCTGGTCTAGCTCCACCTTGTTAGTATGGGCCAGAGAACAGCCCCAGACACTGGGCTAGAACCATTTTTTTTTTTTTTTCAACTTCACAATTGACAAAAGTACCCACGTGGTAGCAGAGAGTGCAGTGAGATTTCTGGTCAGTTTGTATTTGGAAGGCAGCTATGCTTACCACTATATCACCAATGCAGACTCAGTTCATATTTGGGAAGGTGAGAAAGCAAGTATGGAAATGATTACACATGCTCTGTGTGCAATACCAGGGCAAACTTGAGATGGGCTTGTGGTTCTACACACAGGAATCATGAATCCAACAAACAACATATTATCTGGGCCCGGGATTTAGCTCAGTGGTTCTGCTGCCTGCCTCACAAGTGCGAGGACCCGAGTTCGATCCCTGGTACCAAACAACAACAACAACAACAACATATTATCTGTAAGAAAATAACAATCCAGCAAATGTGATTCAAATCAGAGAAGGACTGACATGGGTCTGTTCTGAAGCTCAGCAGTTGTCAATCATCTTTTGTTGAGTCATATGAGCTAAATGATTTGGCAGATATTACTGTTGTTTTTCCCCATAATATCTTCTTCCTTTAAGAAGGAGAGATAGAGAGAGAGAGAGTGTTTGGCTGGGGATCAACCCAGGGCTTTTACACATGCTAGGCAAGCATCCTAGCATGAGCCACATAACCAGTCTCTTGATTTGTAACTATGTGTATCACTATACTAATCTATGTGAAAATGTATACATTTTCTCTAGGAAGGCCCACTGGAACTGTACTGGAGCCTCAGGCCAGGTCTTCACCTCATCACAGCAGGGCATGTGGCTGAGGTGTTTGGATGACAAGAATGTAGAGCTACTACATCGCAGGGTAGCCTACAAGACAAAGTTGGGACAGAATGGTATTCATCAGCAGAGAGGGCTAAGTTCTACAGTGACCACAGGATACAGGAAAATTGAATGGGATCAAGCAAGGGCAGAGAGGCTAAAAGTCAAGTGCTGCAAGATAAATGGTTGTAGACCCAAAGGGCCTGGTGCTCTCCAGCAATAAATATACTTGGGGAAAGAGGGCAAGCAGAAGGAAGGGATAAGTGAACAAAGCAATCAAGGGTAAGGAAGATACTGACTAAAACAACTGTTCCCAAACAAGCACTTCAAGAAGCCAGGGGAAATTTATGAACTGTGAAAGAAATGAATGTGGAGGAGGGCATTCTCTTTCTTCTATTAACCTACCATAAGCTTCAGAGAGCAACAAATCGCATGGATTTGGAGAGCCAGAGATCAGTGCAGACCACAGAAAAGTTGCTGACTGGTGGAACAGGTAACTGTTTAACACCAGACGGAATCCTGCTGGGAAATTAAATGCCCTACTTGACTCAAGGTTCTGGAGGGAAAAGAAGTTCAGATGCCAAAGTAGGAGTAAATTTCCCTGGAGAAAAGGAGATCTTGGAAGTAAGGAGGGCTGACCTTGAACAGGTGTAAGAAATTGCCACATCTGTGTGGTAGACAGCATACAGATGCTGGGACTCCAGCTAGATGTGAGTTCCAGTCTCAGCTTTCCTATCTACTTTTAAACTTATTTACTATATAACCTTCGGTGAAACACTTAACCTCTCTGAGCAATTTCCTCATTTATAAACCCCAAATTAGAAATCCCTTACAGGGCTGCAATGACTCTATTATAATACCTCACACATAATGGATGCTCCATACATGGTGGCTATTATTGTTGACTTAAGTCTGAATCAAATTTATAACCACAGAAGAAATGAGGGGAATTCTCTGACATTCCTTGAGTTAAACGGAGATGATATCAAGAAAGCTGTAAAAGCTCCAATATGAGCTTATCTTAACATCACATATCTAAATATCAAGAATGGCAGCTGAGCTTGAGATTGCTTTTCAGTAACATTTTCCTTCTCTCTACAAAATGTAGTATATCCTCCGCCAGGAATTTGTGGACAGCATTTTGAGAACCATTACCCTCATGCAGATATTAGGGTTTAAATTATTTTAATATCACTTTTAAAACAAAGAATAAAGTTTTGAGAAGTCTAGCAATTTTACCTGATAAGGTCCTGAACTCGACTGTTAAAAGCATCACCTTGTGAGGGTTTGTTTTTCATTTCCTGTGTTGATATTTTTGGTGTGTCTGGCCAGCTGTTTCCATCTGGTCGATTAGCAATCAGGCAGCCAAAAACCGCAGCAATGACTTTGAGAAGTCCAGTTGTCAGGCCTTCATAAACTTGTTTATTTGTATTTCTTCCCAAAATAGCATTATTTTCATCTGGAACATAAACCTAGGAGAAAAAAACCTACAGTAAATGTGTTTCAATAAACCACCAAAAATGAACAGAGATGATTTAGAACATTTCTAGAATCATAAATAATTATGAAATTCCACTGGGGATGATGCAGTGGTCGAGGGTGTTGGGTCTGAAGTCAGATGCCAGTTCAAATCCCAGCTTGGCCTTCACAAACTGGTGACCTTGGGCAGATTACTATCCCCAAGGTTCAATTTCATCATCTATAAAACAGGGATAACGATGGTATCTATAATACAGGCTCTTATCAGGATTAAATGAGCTATGAACATAAAATGCTTATTAGTACATGCACAGGCACAGAGTAAGTACTAATCTATATTAAAATTTTATACTAACAAAATACAGCAATAAACCAACAATATTGTTCCTTATTGGAACAAATTAAAAAACCCTAAATTCTTCTATTATGATCTATTTGCATTTCTTAATACAACATGGCAAAATAGTTGTTTTCCTAGTACAGAACATAGAATCCCATTTGGCTGTTTCTGTGTACAGCTTACGGGAATGTTAATGTGGTTAACAGTTGGACTTAGAGCCAGAAACTGGACTTGAGTTCAGACTCTGCAGCTATGTGATCTGAGGGGGTTGGGAAGTCCTGTGGTCCAGCCTTCAGAAACTTATTTATTAGTATTTCTTCCAAAAACAGTGAGGGTGAGGGACAGCTACTTGGGACAGTACATGCAACAGATGAGACTGAGGACACAAAGGGCATTTAAACTTGAACTGCCTCTTATTTAGGTATTCCACAAAATCCCCCTCTTTTCAGCCCCACTTACACTCATTTTCTGAGATAGCTGATAATCCAAATTCTTGAGCCTTTTGGAGTTCTGTGGCACAGATTTTCTTCCTGCTAGTTTCATTTTATCTTTTAGGTACATTGCAATCAACTGCTTTCCAGATTAAAACATTTGCTTTCCTTTCCTTTCCTTCCTGCACTCTTTCTTTAAGGGTTTATGACTTTATCTATTTACTATAAAATGACTGGGGTATCCAGACAGAAAGAATATAATTTATGTGTTTATTAGCCATATTTTAAAATTAACTCCAGTAACTTCTCTAGGAATACAATTTTCTTATTCTTTCACATGCTACAAAAGAATGAGTAATACATTTTTGGGTAATGTCAGGGCTCCTCATTCATCACAAATGTTCATTTTCCTTTATTTCAACAATCTTGTGCTGCTTTTCATCATGAAATATTTCCAATAAAACACTATGCACTTGATACTTACATTTAGCAATCTTTTGTTTATCTAGTATTTTATCCAGTTACTGCATCTTTCAAGAGAACAGTTGAAAATAAAAAAGAAATAAAAAAGATCTCCAAGATACCAAAATGAATGTTATTTATTTAATCATTTGCTCATCTAACATCTGAATACCTACCACACACTGGCTGAAGGAACAGAGTGATGCTTTGCTCACCCTTGGGATTTCTTCCACATTCCTTTCCCCATTCCCCTTCCCTTGTTTGATCTTTCTAGTACTGGGGATTGAATCCAGAGCCTCTGCACTGAGCTACACCCCAGCCCTTTTTTATTTTGAGACAGGACATCACTGAATTGCCCAGGGTGAGGTCTAACTTGCCATCCTCCTGCCTTGGCTTCTCAGAATGCTGAGATTACAGGTGGGCACCACCATGCTTCAGCCTTGTGTTTTATAAAATTGTAACAAGCTTTGGTTTTTCAATTTATAGAACAGAAGGAATAGCCATAAAAAAGTAGAGACCATTTTAGAAGTAGGCACAAGGAAAGACATAAAAATAGAAAAGGCATACGATGTAGGAATAGTTAGGCTCACTCACCTTTATTTCCTAACAAATTATTATTTATTACAAATCAGGAACACTGCCAATACTCAAAAGGACAAGAAATCCCAAGATGCCAAGAAAAGGTTAAATTATGAGCCACACTCATGGAGTGGTAAGGGAAGAATAAAAACTAATGTTTATTGGACTTTTCTGCCATGCCAGGCACATAGCATTTTCCTTTTATTATTCATCCCATGTCTTTAACAGATTAAGAAATCAAATTTTTGGGCTGAGGATTTAGCTCAGTGGTTCCGCTGCCTGCCTTGCAAGTACAAGGTCCTGAGTTTGATCTCCGGTATCCCCAGAAAAAAAGAAATCAAATTTTCTTTACCCAAATTTCACAACTAGTTAATGGAGGAGCTGGGCCTTAAACCTGGTCTGTTACGCTTTAATGCCCATGTGCCTTCCCTTACCCTTATCCTTACCTATGATCCTTTATCTGGCCCCTCTTTTACTGAGCATTCTGGAAAAATTTTGTCCCCAATAGAGGGTCATGGTCAAACACTTTCTCACTGATATCTCTTCTGTTAAAAACCATGGATTCCATAAGAGCTCTGGGCTTCGGCAAGAGAGTAAAAAAGTATGCAAGGGTTGCTGGGAAAACACTGGATGAAATACACACATCTTATCATTCAGAAACATAAAAGGGGTTTGGGGACCAAAAGTCACTTCTTCATCTGCCACAAGATAATCAGCTCAATGTAAAGCAAGTCAGATAAATTTTTACACTGTTCATTGGGAAAACGAGAGTTGGGGAGACACTATTACTTGGGATGATATGATACATTCAGCAGATGAGATTGTTCACTGGGATTTTGTGCATAATTTTATAAACACCATTTTGTCAGTGGCTCATAAAGTAAACACAAACTGAAAGACTCCTATAACAATTTACTGGCTATAACAGGAATCCCAGCTTGAAGCAGGCAGGCTTCCCTTGCTAGGCTTGCAGGAGGACCTCAGGTGGAGTGTGTCGGTCATCCCTGAACTGAACAGCTTTTGCTTTCTCATTGTGATTTCCTATTTTCGAACTGCCTCTTTGAGCCTCACATCCAATTCAGTCACTTCAATTTCTTCTTCACTTCGATTTTCCTTTCTTAGCATTGGTCCTCTGCTGAGCACAGAGCATTCTGCCTGTAACCTTTGGTGGAATCTTTATGTCTCTCACCAAGACTGTACTTTATTCAGTAATTGAAATTCTCCCTGTGTAGATTTTTTCTTTTGCTAGTTTAAAATTATTTTATATTAATAGTTTAACAGAAAACCAATGTTTCCTATAGGAAAGAATTTCAGAATTAAGGTAAGGTTTTATCTTCAGGGACATGAAAAGTCTCTTTTTAGTCTTTAAAAATGAGATTTGATAAAAAGCAATCCCATTGTGAAGGACAGTCCATTCAATGCAGTCCTACTAACCTCTGCCTAGGTGGGTATTCCTGTTCCTTGTTATGATAAAGTAACTCATGAGCAGCTAGGTGGCGTGAATACTTACCAGAGTTCTGCTATCAGCTTATAGACCAATACTTTTAACTCCTAGTATGGCTGCTGGGTCATGGGCACAATGCCAGCTGAGGAGTCTGTCCTTTAGGCAAGCCATGTCATGCCCTCCCCCATTGCACCTCTGGCTTACCTGAGTATGGATGCATTCTGTTCTGGGGTGGGTGGTCTGGTCTGGGCAGGGGAAGGTGACTTGCCTATGCTGCAGTGCTGGTAACTGTCACTTGCTGGTCTGTACCAGACCCTGCCTGAGAACAGAGCTATGTAACTTTGGGTCCCTTTGAATCTGTTACCCCAAGACGGAAATCTAAAACCATATGGTCTTTTCAAATGGTTTAAAGGTTCTTCCTTTAGTATATATGGTATTTTTTTCTTTTTTGTGGTGCTGAGGATTAAACAGAGGGCCTTGTGCATATTAAGTATGTGCTCTACTACTGAGCTATACTCTCAACTCTTCCTTTAGTATATTTCTTTGAATACATGGGTGTGGTCATTATCTTACTCCTACACTAATAACAAATTACAAGATGAGTTCATGTGCATATTCTAATTGCAAAGAAAAAATGCTTTTATTAGTAGCATAAACCAACCCATCATTCTATAACATGATTCCGTGAGACAGCAAATTAAGTTTGTAATTAGTAGTAATTCAATTTATTTTTAGTATTCTGAGGCAGTGTGTTCACAATGATCATATTATGAACAAGTTCACTAGGCCAATAAGAAATTGCTTAGAATATTTCTGTCGAGATGGTGTCAGTGGGCTGTGGATTTAGCTCAGTGTACCATGCCTAACAGGCAAGTGCAAGGTCCTGAGTTCAATCTCCAGTACAAAAAAAAAGAGCAGATTTAGCTCAATGGTACTGTGCCTGCCTCACAAGTGCAAGGACCTGAGTTTGATCCCCACGAAAAAAAAAAAAAAAAAGATGGTGTCAGAGCATAGCAAAAAAGAAGGCAAAAAGTGGGCAAGCGCTTCAAGGGCAGACACAGGTCCCTGCATTGTTGACTGTCACTTTATTTCCTAGAGACACTGGACACACAGTAGCATTTTTACCACTAATATTTTATAAAATTTCCATCTCCAATGTTATATTATGCATAAATATAAAACTGATGGAAGATACTTATATTCACTATATTCACTTATACTATTTAACTGACTTAAAATATATATGACCAATTATTTTTCAATATCTTTAAAAATTTTTCCCATTTTTAATCCCACAAATAGTATTATGACATTAAAGACATTATAATTTATCCTAATAGTACCTAACATATTTTATGCTTTTGAGTCCCTATTAATATTAGCTCAAATTCTAAAAAAAATCAGGACACTTTCCAGCAGACACATAGCAGAGTGGTCATGTTGCTGTACGTGTTGAATCATCTGTCTCTTCTGCTTACCACATTACGGCTTCTTATCTCCTGCAAACTACAAGTCCCAAACTTCATAGTGGTCATCAAGGCTCCCCTGATACATTTGTCCCTGTCTCCTCTCTAAGACAATGTAATACCCTTTGTCTGTCTGGCTCTTGCTCTCACTTACTTCCTCTGCCTGGATGTTCTTCCCTAGGTACCCTCAGGCCTCCACTTCTTCCTCTAGGTCTCTATTCAAATGCCAGCTTATCCACAAGCTTTGCCAGGCTACTTTAATAAGAGTAAC